TATACAGACTTCTCTGTACTTGGCAAAAATCCCCTGTACATTGATGAGGAACTCTGAAATTCACTCCTGTGAAAATTCGAAGTTATTATACCAGCAGGAGAAAATTCTCAAGCTGCTCGGTCACACTGACTCAGATGACATTCTCTTTGCTAGTCCTCAGGAGCATTCCTATGAGATTTAATGGTTCTAGAGCTGACAGTGGAGCCACTTGAACTAACTCTGAAGAGATTCTCTTCTCTTTAAAGCCATTCTGCTTTCGATTTTCACCAGTGAGTTTCATGCATACAGTCAGAAAAAAAGAATGTCATAATCTAGTGTCTACTGTAGCATTTGGCAAATAATTGCAAATTAGTGCTTCTTGAACTGAAGTCAATTTTTATTACATGCACACATACACTTATAAAATATAAGTACCAAAGTAATAAAAAATTATTAAAGTAAAATTAAAAGGCTCTAGGGTAATAATAATTTGTTGCTGTCTACCTTCCTAAACAAACTAAGTTCTCATGAGAAAAGGATCAAGCCTGGCATGGTGGACCATGCCTTTAATCTCAACACTCAAGAGGCAGAGGCAGGTGATCTCTGTGAATTCAAGGCCAGCCTGGTCTACAAAGTGAGTTTCAGGACAGCCAGGGCTGTTACACAGAGAAACCCCGTTTCAAAAATACAAAAGTAAGAAAAAGGTCACTGTTTACTTCACTATCACATCATCCAGCCCTTGAGAGTGTCACATACTAAACACTCCATAACTATATTAAAGCTATAAAAAGCCTTCATTTAAAAAATTACAATAGACACAGTAGAGATGGTTCAGTGAGTAAAGGCACCTGCCACCAACCATGGCAACCTGAGTTGGAGCCCAGAGCATACATGGTGGAAAAAGAGAACCAATTCCTACAAGATGGCCTCTAAACTCCACAGGCATGCTGTGGCATGTTCGTGTGTGTGTGTGTGTGTGTGTGTGTGTGTGTGTGTGTGTGTGTGTGTACACTGATTAAATGGAAACAAACTTCTTAAAGGTCCCTCATTATGTAAATAATTAGAATAAATTCCTAGTCTTCTGCAGTTGGAAAGGAGTGAATCTACTCACTCCCCAGACAGAACCTCTCCCTTTCCTTTTTTGCCCACTTCTAGGAAGCAGGAGTTCCTAAAACTGCAAGGCAGCCATTCCAGCTGTGGCACAGTTCCAAACTCTTACTCTCTATCTCCCCTCCACTTCAAGCTCTTCATGAGTCCATGATCTCCAAAGTGAAGTCTCTAGCTTCCTGATTGCCAGGTATTTCTGGGTAGGGTTTAGAGATAAGCACCTTCTGCCTAAGCAAAGTAAAAGTTCTAACTATGCCAACCACCCACGTGCTGTCAAATGGCTAGGAATATATGCTACCTGGCAGACAGTTTCCAAAAACACACAACATACTCGATCTGACTTTTCCAAGTAAGGATAATACTTCTAAAATGAGCAAGATAAAACTGCTTTTTAAAGGATATTTGCACTATCATTAAAAAGTATTTGGAAAGATTTCCACTGGTCCTTGATTTAAAACCATTTCCATTGAAAACATAGACACCAGAACTCCAGAAGCAGAATGAGGAGGATTTTGAACTCAATGCTGGGCTAGACTACCTAATGAGATCCTGTCTCAAAAGAACAAAACCAAAAGCAACAAAAAGTCTAGTCTTTAAAGTCATTAACTATACAGGTTTATAAAAGATTTGAAATAGGGAAAGACTGCCCCAACCTGTCTAAAACCATTCTGGACAAATAACTGGAAAGAAATGTGTTTAGATGTAGTTTCACACTGCACACAAAAAGCACACCACCACTTCTAATCCATTATTAAGAATAACTGAGCCGGGCGGTGGTGGCGCATGCCTTTAATCCCAGCACTCGTGAGGCAGAGGCAGGCTGATCTCTGAGTTTGAGGCCAGCCTGGACTACAGAGTTCCAGGAAAGGCGCAAAGCTACACAGAGAAATCCTGTCTTGAAAAAACAAACAAACAAAAAAACTGATACATCACTGCCAAGTCCAGCCAGTTCCTCTGTATAACTGAGAATGAGGGACTAAAATGCTGGCCTGAAGAGATGGCTCAGCAGTTAGGAGCATTTGCCATTCTTGCAGAGGATCTGAGATCGGTTCCCAACAACCCACAACAGGAAGCTCACAACCTACCTGTAACTCCAGCTATAGGAGATCTGATTCTCCTTCTGGCTTCCATAAGTACCCGCATACACATGGGATGGACGGACGGACAGACGGACAGATGGACACACACACACACACACACACACACACACACACACACACACAGAAAAATAAATCTTTTTTTAAAGAAATGAAATGTTAGTAATGTCATCCACAAGTCTTCCATTAGCATGTATGGATCTCTGAAGATATCTTTTTTTTTTTCAGTCCTGAAAGTCATTAAAACCATGTACACAAAGTACCTGAATTTGGAACCTGCACTTTGTACAGTTGAATCCACAAGAAGAAAGCATGGGCTTAAGAGTCAGATCTGAATTCTTGTTGGAACACTTGTAGCTAGCTGTGACACAGGACAAGGTATTAAGTGCCATTTATAAAACAGATATAATAATGTCCACCTGCTAAGTTTAGTGTCATCTTTAAAGAGTACTGCACTGCACACCAACTCACTCCTACAAGACATTCATAAACATCCAACCCTCCCTCATGACTCCCTAGTCAGTTTTCAGCAATGACAGAGACCAAGGAAATCTACCCTGAGAATGTCAGAATCCACTGACCTCTGCAAGCCTCTGAATAAGATGGTTTGGTCACTTAAAAGAAAAAGATAGTCCATTCAAAACTGTACCAAGGAGACTAAGGCAAGGACATTGACATGAATTCTGGGCTACACAGCCAAGTGCCAGGGCAGCTAGAGCTACATAATAAACCTGTCTCCAAAAAAAAAAGTTCCCCGTTTGCTGATAAGGAAGAACAGCAGCTGGACAGTAGCCTGACAGCCTGATACAGGATCTGACATACATGGAGTGTACTGGCCTTTTATGATTACTGAACTTGGGTGAATTACGATGCCCATCATCTTTCAACTGACTGTGACAGCCTGGGACTGCTCTTGATACAGGACAAAGTCTTTCTGTTATTCAAACTAGAGCTCTTTAAACTATCATGTGTACGCTCCTTGATTTGAGTCGCCTAGTTTCGAGATAATTATGTTATATTCATACCCCTTAGCACAAATTGCAAAGGAGTTTCCATAATTTAAGCTTCTAGATGGCAAAGAGAAGCCACTACAAACCCAAGGTCTTTAAGTAAAATACTAGGCACTTTAGCCCACCGATGCGAATACAACTGTATTTGGTGAACTGAAATACACACGAAGCACAGAAAACAGTGAGTCAACCCACAGCCTCTAGTAGAAAACAGGCTCTTTGAAAAACGGCTGAGGTTGCAGCTTCGGAGCTTTTGCAACATTTGCGTTTACGACCTGTCTTTTTATCACGTGAAGCAAAAAGACAAATCTAAACAGCACTCCTGGGGCCACGCAACCATTCACAAGCTGGGAAAACGAACTGGCTTGTAAACATGTAATCAAGCAAAGCAGGCCAACCGGCAGAAGGGGCCTTCACCTAACTTTCCTCCAGACGCCCAACGCTGTATGAAGACAATCAGGCAAACCAAACCAGCATCCAAACCAAAATAAATAACTGGGGATTTTTGACGCCTCCTCTTCATCCTTAATCTTTTCGAACGTCATCCAATAAGATAGGGTTTGTTTGCCCTGAACCCCCGCAGACCCTCACAAGAGACAGGGCTGGTCACCTCCTTCCCTGGGCCTGCTTCATAGACCACCAAGCAATGACTCAATTGTTCGCATGGTGTGTGCCCCCATTATATCGTTTAAGTCAGAGCACGTGATATAGGGGCGCAAACTTGCTACACTTTACACACTTCCCTGAGCTCGGCCACGCTAGACCCCAAACAATTCCCAAGGAGGGACTGATCGTCACCGATGCTGGATGACAATCGCTCAGGTTTTGCCCTAAGGAAAACGAGTCCCTAGCCCTGCTGGCTGACGGCAGCTTACCCATTTGTCCAAGGGGACCTGGGCGAGGGACCCGGTGCCCTGATACAAGTCCAGGCTCAGCTGCTCCAGGCTCAGCTTCTCCTGCAAGAAGTGGCCCAGGTACCTCTGCAGGAGGTACCGACAGGCCCTCTTCTTGATAGACTCTGAAAATGGCCAAGGCATGTTGGTGAGGGCTGGCGGCTGGGAGGGCCGGGACTTCGCGCTGCGGCTATTCCGGGATCGGACCTGGGGTCCAGGCAGCGACAGCACCTCGGGGTCCGGCCGGCGTCCCCAGGCTGCGGTGAAGTCTAGGTTCGCGGTGGCCGCAGCATGACGGTTCTGTGCCGCCGTCCCTCAAGGCGACCCCATGGCCCGCGTCGCGTCGTTCACACTAGGCCCGGCGGGAACGGGTAGCTGAGCGAAACCTGGCGCCCCAGGCCGGAGGCTTCCGAAGAGCTCTGTCGGTACGGATAGAATATGCACGAGAGCCAGAGGGCAGACGGCGGCGGCGAGGCGGACTCCGACACTGCGCGACAAATTTGTTGTCATCTACGAGGCGCGCTCCCGCCTCCGAGACGCTCCTGGCGCGTTCGTGAGACCTAGACTCGCCGCGCGCACCCGAGCAACTGGCGCAAGCGGAAGTGACGCCATACTGTGGGGCTGGGAAGTCAGGAAAAAGAGTCCGGGCGGGAGCATTTCCGGTGATGAATGGGCGGGGCGACTGTGGGGGCGGGGGCGGTGCCGGCGTCGCAAGTCCAGCTCCAGCCGCCTCGGGACGAGGAAGAGGAGGGACATGGGCGCTCGCAGGTGAGTGGGCGGGCAGGCTGCGGGCCGTGGGCCCTGACCTCACGGTGGCGGCGGACTGGTAAGTGCGGGCGTACATCCGCATTCGGCCTGACAGAGGCCTGGGGGCGGGTCCGGCCTGGGCTGTCCTCCGGGAAGTGGTGCGCGGACGCCGTGGGTTGCAGGGCGAGGACTGGAGACTTGGCATTTCTGTCCGTGTTTTGACCGGTGCCTATTGTCAGCAAGTTGCTCCCCACCTCATGCTGGTATTGTTTGCAAAGCATCCTCCAGGTCTAGTACTTTGCTGTTTGCAGAGCGCCTCTCGTAAAATGCCACACCGACGACCAGGAAACTTGGGATTCGTGGAGTTTGTGGGCAATACTGTTTTCTCTGTTAAAATCCGGCGCCTCGCGACCCCGAGGGGGCGGGGGGGGGGAGCTCAGCAAAGACTTTGTGCTCTCCGGGGGATGTGCGCAGCCGTATTTTAGGAGACAATCCTGCAGAGGCACTGGCTCCTTACTGAGGCAGCCGCTGAAGACTGCAAAGTCTGCTGTCCTGAGTTACATTCCAGACATTGACACTGAGCCACCTTGAACCTGTGCTGCCCTCTCTGAGCCTACGTCGCCGCCTCAGCCAGGTGTGAGCCGACTAATATTATAAACTCGAGAATTGAGGAAAATGAAATGATGTGAGCAGGGAAGTAATTTAAACAGAGTCCTGGATTGAGGAGATTGAGTGAAGGAATTCTGTTCATAAATGCTGCATCCTCAGAATTGGTTCTTTTGGTTTGGTTTGGATTTTGAGTCTCTCACTATGTAGCTCAAACTGGCTTTGAACTTGTTATGTAGCCCAGACCGGCCAAAACTTGAGGTCTTCCTGCCTAAGTCTCCCAAATGCTGAAATTTTGGCTTTGCACCACCCCACTCCACTCAGACTATTTACCTGGGTTGTAAGAAAAGGCCTCTCATTTTTTAAAAGATGCTATTTGAGTCAGAGACTTAGAGAAAGCGAAGAAGTAGGACACATGGATGCCTGAGTTATTTTCCAGACAAGACCACCACCTGCAGGGCTCATCACAGGAGTCATGCTTGGTAAGTTCCGGGAACCTGAGGAGGGAGGAGAGGAAGGAGTCTGTGCTGACAGTAGATGTAAGGAGTGAGGCCATTGCAAGGATTCGATTTGTGCTCCTGGTAAAATAAAGAGAAATACAAGATAATCTGGCCTTAGTTTGCTACCTACAGTGTTGAAAATAGCCAGGTGTAGGGCTTAGACTGAAGGTGAAAACAGCCAGAGCAGCACCGGAAGAACAGCGCAAGTAATCCAGATTCCATGGTTTGAACTGAATATAGCACTGAAGATCAGAACCATCTGGGTTCTAGATCTGTTTTGACACTAATAAGACATGCTTGCCGGGCATTGTGGCACACACTTTTAATCCCAGCACTAGAGAGACAGATGCAGACAGCTCTCCTTAAATAAGGCCAGCCTGGTCTACCTGGGAAGACCCTGTCTCAAAGAGGGACTGAGCCTTACAAGTCATCATGACAGGACTCTTTGTAGTATAAACAAAGCAGAGTTCGAAGTCTGGGATGGGACCTTGCCTCATTCAGGCCTCTGGGGTTTGGAACTGGACTTTGAACTTAGTTCTGTGACTGTTGTTAACATGGTTTCCTGAACACAATATAAAATTACATTCAGGCTGTCCATAGGATGCCTGCACTTACAGATACCGAAGGAAAGGAGGAAAGGAGGGAAAATGAAAGACCCCACAATAACAAGCACACTACACCCAAAGTGTTAAGTGTGTTGCCTTGTACGTTTTATACTTTCTAGGAGAGATCCAGCATAGAATTTAAGAACTGTCATCACACCTTTAGCCCAAATGGGATTCAGAATCATCGAAAATCACAGGGCTGTTTCTAAGTTTAGCAAAAGCAAGTTCCTAGTGTAGAATGCTGGCACCCTAGCATTAATTGAGGAAGATGAAGGTAGTTATCCAACCAAATACTGTTAACTTTGTAAAAATGATAAAGGAATTCTCAGTGGCAGGTTAGAAGGTGCATCAGGTCAAAATAATAGTCCAAGTAGGGATCTGCACAGGTCATTGTGATGGTGTTCATTATACTGAAGACTTGCCTGGGAGAGCCCAGTGGAGCACCCTTGTAATCCCAGCACCTGGGAAGTGAAGGCACAAGGACCAGGAGCTCAATGTCATCCTTGGTTACATACCAGGTTTGAGGCCTGCCTGGGTTGATGTGACCCTGTCTCAATCAACAGTGAAAGATCACAGGCCAGTAACATGGTTCAGCAGGCAAAGTCACTTGCTGCCATGGCTGATAACCTGAGTTCAGTTCCCCAGAACCCACATGGTAGAAAGAGGGAACTAGGCTTCCCCAGTTGTCCTCTGACCGCCACAAGAGGGCCATGGCATGTGCATAACCCCCCCCCCCCCCCGCAACACACACACACACACACACACACACACACACAAATGTAAAAAATATTATAAAAATATTATTTAGCTGGGCGGTGGTAGCACACACCTTTAATCCCAGCACTCGGGAGGCAGAGCCAGGCAGATCTCTGTGAGTTCAAGGCCAGCCTGGTCTACAGAGTGAGATCCAGGACAGGCACCAAAACTACACAGAGAAACCCTGTCTTGAGAACCCCCCCCCCAAAAAAAAATGATTACAGTTATCAAGGTTGTCAAGCTCCAGCAGTAGCCTTCACTGTGCCTGTGTAAAGAGCACTGAACCTGGGGTCAGTCAGATATGTGGTGTTTTCAGATCTGGAGCTGCCCTTCCCCTTCTAAGGTATATTTGAGCATGGTGGTGCATGCCTGTAATCACAGCTTCTGGAAAGCAGGGACAGGAGGATGGCTCTCCCAAGAAAGGCCTCCCTCAGCTACATGGTGAGACTTTATCTCAAAGAAGACCAGGAGGACCGAAGAGATGGCTCAGTGGGTAAGAGCGCTTGCTGGTCTCCAGAGGACCCAGGTTTGTCCCAGCTCCCTCTTCAGGTGGCTCATAGGACACACACCTACAACTAACTAAGAATAATAAACTGTGAAAACAAACAAGCCAGGTGTGGTGATCCACACCTTTCTTACTAGCCCTCCAGAGGCAGAGACTAGCCTGTTCTAAGTAGTGAGTGCCACACCTGTCGGGGACACATAATGAGACTGTTTCAGAATAAACAGACAAACAAAAACACCGCATGGAGGGCTGCAGAGAGGGCTCAGCAGTTAAGAATCACTGGCTGCTCTTCCAGAGGACCCAAGTTCCATACTCAGTACCCATGTGGTAGCTAGCTCACCAGTCTAACTCCAGTCCCAGGGAATCCAGCATCCTCTTCTGGTCTCCTCAGCATCAGGCACTTGCTTGATACACAGACATATATGCCGGCAAGACGCCCATATACATAAAATAAATTTTTTTTTTTTTTTGAGACAGGGTTTCTCTTTGTAGCTTTGGAGCCTTTCCTGGAACTCACTCTGTAGCCCAGACTGGCCTTGAACTCACAGCGATCTGATTGCCTCTGCCTCCCGAGTGCTGGATTTTAAAGTTTTTTTTTTTTAATTTATTATGCGTACTAATAAGCAGAAGTGGGTAGTTGGGCATCAAACTTGGGGCCTCACACATACTCAGCAAGCACTGGACTGTTGAGCTATATTACCAGCCCCTAGAGATTTTTTTTTTCCCTCCCTCTGGAGACACCACCTCATTGTCACCAAGGTTGACCTATTACTTGCAGATGGTACTTTTTTGTTTGTTTGTTTGTTTTGGTTTTTCGAGACAGGGTTTCTCTGTGTAGCTTTGGAGCCTATCTTGGATCTCGATCTGTAGACCAGGCTGGCCTCGAACTCTCAGAGATCCGTCTGGCTCTGCCTCCCGAGTGCTGGGATTAAAGGTGTGCGCCGCCGCCGCCACACCCGGCTGCAGATGGTTCTCTTAATTCACCATCCTTCTGCCTCGTACCCCTGAATGCTGGATTTCCAAACATGTGCCGCCGCACCCGGCTGCAGATGGTTCTGTTAATTCACCATCCTTCTGCCTCGTACCCCTGAATGCTGGATTTCCAAACATGTGCCGCCGCACCTGGCCCCAACATAATTCTTGAACTTGCCGTGTGCTCAGCATCATTCTAAGCACTTTGTTAAAGTGCCGTAGCTAGGCCTGTCAGCGCCATTGAAAGGTGGAGTCTGGTGTTAGCTTCACTTCAGAGAGAAGGAATGTGAAACCTTGTGCCTGAGTCCCAGAGCATCCAACAGAGGTTCCTGCCCTGACCAGTCACGTTGAGAGGCACTCAGGGACATCATCCCTGCCGTCCCCTGACGGCCGTGGTGTCAGCTGCAGCGCCACACCTGCTGTGAAGTGAGTCTCTGTGGTCTCTGCCCTGCCGGACACCTTCTTGTGAAGGGACACACACCTGTCACTTCGTCTCTTCTGCCGTCGCAGACAGTCCCCCGTCTTCACCCTTCTGAATGTGCAGTGCAGCGAAATAAAGGCTAGTGAAGTAAACGTGGGGAATGGAAGATCCAACATCAGCACCCTGAGGGGTTCAGGACTCCTCAAAACCAGAACTGGTCGCACAGCCCAGAAATCACCAGCAGATGGAGAAAGCGGAGTCCTGCGTCGCTTAGGCGGGTGTTTTAAAAGATCCTCTCAGGACCTGTCATACAAACAGCTGGGTGCTTGAGAGTAACACATGGCACTTGTGGCGTCCAGTCCTTGAAGGTCCTGACCTCAGAAGGGTCACTGGTAGAGCAGCAGTGGAAGGCTCAAAGGGAAGTGGTGAAGGTTTCTTAAAAGTATTTCATGTACATGGGGTGTTTTGCCTGCATGGATGTGCACTCTATGCCTGATGTCTGAGGGGGCCAGAAGAGAATGTTGGATCCCCTGGGACTGGAGTTACAGGCTGTCGTGAGCTGCCATATGGGTACTGAGACTCAAACCTGGTCTTCTGGAAGAACACCCAGTGTTGTTAACTACTGAGCCATCTCTCCAGCCCCGAAATCGCTATTCTGCATCTAATGATTTGTTTTATGTTGGTTATAATGTTCCCTACTCATAGTTCCAAGAATCCAGTTTCCTGGAGAATCAGTACTACCTGTCTTTGGGGGGGGCCTTTTTTTTCATTCAGTGCTTAATATTTTCTTATCGATTGGACTCCTGGAGCTCCACCTGGGGTTTGGCCGTGGATCTCTGCATCTGCTTCCATCAGTCACTGAATGAGAGTTCTCTCATGACAGGGTGTTCGGCCATCCAATCACCAGAGTAGGTCAGCTCAGGCACTCTCTTGACCATTGCCAGTAGTCTATAGTGGAGGTGTCTTTGTGGATTTCTGGGGACCTCTCTAGCACTCTGCTTCTTCCTATTCCCTTGGAGTCTTCATTTATCATGGTATCTCTTTCCTTGTTCTCCCACTCTGTTCCTGATCCATCTGGGATCTCCCGCTCCCCTAAGCTCTCTTTCCCCTGACCCTTGCCCTCCATTACCCCCACACTCCCAGTTTGCTCATGTAGATCCATTTCTCTGTCATTGGGCGATCCCTGTGTCTTTCTTAGGGTCCTCTTTACTAGGTAGCCTCCCTGGAGTTGTCAGTTGCAGTCTGGTTATCCTTTGATTTACATCTAGTACTCACTTATGAGTGAGTACATACCATGTTTGTCTTTCTGAGTCTGGGTTACCTCACTGAGAATGATATTTGGAGCTCCAGGAATACAGTTGAAGAGAGAGAGAGACAGAGAGACAGAGAAGAGATTATATGAGCAAGAGATATCGACACCATGATTGGAAAAAGCACAGGGAAAAATATCCAAACTAGCGGAAACACATGAACTGTGAACCAATAGCTGAGGAGCCTCCATGGAACTGGACCAGGCCCTCTGGATAAGTGAGACAGTTGATTAGCTTGAAGTGTTTAGGAGACCCGCAGGCAGTGGGACCGGGACCTGTCCTTGGTGTATGAGCTGGCTTTTCGGAACTTAGGGCCTATGCTGAGTCACTTTGCTCAGCCTTGGTGCAGGGAGGAGGGGACTGGACCTGCCTCAACTGAATGTACCAGGCTGGGCTGACTCCCCAGGGGAGAC